ACGGCAGGCGAGCAAACACAACGTAACATTAACTGTGACAAAGAGTGACTGTGAGGGTACAATTTCTAAAGTAAACAAAAACGAGATGATAATCAAATACAGCTGAAACGCAAAACTCATAATGACAGTAACCAAGGAGACAAACGAGTGGCGGGAAAATAGAACAAAGGGAAACAGGAAACTGAAGACAAACTAAAAGTCCATGATGATGAAACTGAGGGTACGTTTACACAATAAATTATAGGCTTGTAAGCTCTGCGTACAGAGAAACCATATTCAAAACAATCCCCATTCACACGGATCCGTGAAAACGAATAAGAACGCTGTATTCTGCTGCCAGACCATTAGGTGGCGATGAAACACTATAGACTGAACACGTAATATGCATGTACGCGACGTCATCGTCTTCAGAGATTCGTGTTTTTGTTGTTTACACAGAGACCGTTCATCAAAATGAAAAAATATTCAATTCGTTCGTTTCATTCGTTGAATGAACCAAAAGACTCGGAAAAAGATTCGTTAATTTTGATGAACAGGAGACTCGAGAACGCGCATCGCAGTACAGAGCAAGGCGAGCATTTGAGCTTATTAATCTTAAACTTTGTTATTTATTTAACAAATGAGCGATCGTTTCGCTTGATAAGACCCTTATTCATCGTCTGGAATCGTTTAAAGCCCTTTGAACAGTTTGCACTGAAACTGTCTTTTGGACCTTGAACCGTTTGGTTCCCATTGAAGTCCATTATATGGAAAAAAAACCCTTAATTTCATCAAAAACCTTGATTTCTTTTCGACTGAAGAAAGAAAGACGTGGACATCTTGGATGACATGGGGGTGAGTAAATTATCAGCAAAAGTTTTTTTTAAAAGTGAACTACTCCTTTAAGCGTAGTGTCTAAGGCACACGTGACCGAAACCCCTTTTACTAGTTTACCGCCGGAAAATTTTTTGACGCATTTTCAGAACTTTTTCAGGCTTTACAAGCTCCTTTGAGTCTCTGGCAAAAGGGCATTAGAGCTTAGTTCAATTAATTTCCATGAATCACTTCAAACTGTCCATTTCAATGAACTGATTCAAAACTGTGCTCAAAAATTCAAAGTGTTTTATTACCAATATTTGTATGTAAATTATGCTTACTACCATGTATTGATACATTGGTGCATAGACGTGATTAAATCATGATCATTCTTTAGTGAAAACCTATATTTTTATGTATTTTACATTGATTGTTTTACATTCTCCAGCTCTCATTGCCTACAAATAAAAACAAATAACATTACTCAAGAGACTTTTAAGCAGCAATTTCAAGCTCAAACTCTACAGTGCCACATTAGGTCTCTTCCTTTCTGAGCTATTCAGTAAACTAATGTTCACAAGCTAATGAGGGGACATCTCAAATGTGACGGGAGAAAATGACCCTCTCAGCTTTTGCTTGCCTGAGCATCATATCTATTCAGACCGAGACACATTTGAATCACAGCTTCAAACTCCAGAACATATCTCCATTTTTACTTTAAAAGCATCATTAAAGTGCAAATTATTTATAAGCATGTATTCATCTGCACTTAACTTTTCGCATTTCCCCGTTCCAGACATGCTCAAACGGGTATGAGTAGAAGCTCAACAGAAGGGCATTCTGGGATCTCACTGAGATACTAAAAAAGTAATAATCCTCTGGATAAATTGCCTGCTTTTGAGCCACATTTATCATACACAATACAGTGAAAAAACATTTGTCTTATTTTAAGATAATATTTTTTTTCCTACATACAATCCTTATTTGAAGTTGATTATTATTTGCTTTTGAATGCATGAACTATTTTTGCAATTTTGATAAAAAACAATAGTATAACTAAGAGAAACTGCAGCATATGAGCTATATAGAGACAATAATATGAAAACAATGAGCTTATATCACATACAAACTCTGAATTGAGGCTTAATGAAGTTTTGTCAGTGGTGTTTTTCTAACAATAGAGGTTAAGATAGAAGAACTGCTTCTTGTCAAGCTGAGCCAAACATTCGAGCACATCAGAGTCAGGGGAGAGAGGAAATAAAGCAGTAAACCATCAATTACAGTTTCGTTTTTTACCTCAGCTAAGGGGTATGGGCTGAGACTCTTAAAGCTAAAATGGGTAATTCTTGAAATACTGAAAATATTGACAGCCTGTCACTCACATGAGATCGATCAATACCAAGCATTCAATCAATTCCCCATGGACAAAAACCCAGTCCATTTATTCTTATTGGAGAAGATTATGAGCTCTGTCACGTTCTCTTTTCGCCAGCAGACTCTCCTTTGTTCGGGGTTTGTTTAAAATGAGGTCTCCCAACCCAGACTGATCTCATGAAGTAGCGCGTGTATGACACGCCAATTCGTATATCCATTTTTGGCGTGCTATCAAGACAAGAGCCAGACCGATATATCGGCAGGCCGATATTATCTGCCGAAATTAGGCATTTTCTAAAAATATCGGTATCGGCAGTTATAATGGCCGATAAATGAATATTTCAAAAATAAAATAGAAACGGACGAATCACGCAGCTTATAACTATAAGGCAATGTAGGGGCTAATTATTATTTTATTTATCAGAACTTTCATATATTTTGATGTTCCTCTGTTCTGTTGTGACAATAGAAACAAGTTTCTTTTTTAAAATGCATTATCATATTATTTTAGTTAAAACTCATAAATAACTACAAATAACTAATGTTAGGGAAATCTGTCAATATTTTGTTGTGCGTTTCTGAAATAATAATAATAATAATAATATCGGCCGATATATTGGAATATCGGATTTTAAAACCAACAAATATGTGTATCGGTATCGGCCTTCAAAATCCTTTATCGGTCTGGCTCTAATCAAGACGCATAATCGATTTTCAGCGTGTTAATGGCATTCCATCTTAATGGTTAATGGCATTTATGACTGTTCCCTTACCATCCTAGGAAAAAAAAAAGATTGCTCCCCAGATGTATATCTACAATTTGTATCGTTTCGCGCAGACATTTGACGGCGTGTACAGACACGCGGAATCAGACGTTAATGGCGTACACATACACGTGGATACATGCGGATAGCTCAAAATGCGTAGATACTTGACTCGAAAGTGGCCTGTATGTTTACGCAAAAGTCATGATGTCATGTTGCCCAACCAGACACGTGTCTAAGTAGCCGGAGGAACTTCTCTCTATTTCAGTGTTTCTCAAACTTTTTCTGCCATTTCCCACTTTGAAGGTAGGGAGGGGTTCGTGCCCCACCTGCCCTACCAGATGCGAATTCGCGTCAAACACATGAATGCAAAAATGGCACTAACTAAATCATTCGCGCTTTACGCGCCAGACGCTCAATGAAGCGTATTCGCGTCTTACCTGCCTCATTCGCGCCGCAGAAATTTTTACGCGCATAACGCGTCTTTGCATTGACTTAACATTGAAATCATTCGCGCCTGACACGCTACTCGCGTCCGGTGTGAACGTAGCATAAGTCAACGTTTTCTCAAAACTCCCTACTGCAGCTTTAACTCCAACTTTAAGTTTGTAAATGCAATCAAACTCTACATTTCTATGTTAAGAAACTGCATATTTCTAGTCAAGTAAACTTAAAAATCGAGGTTTAACTATAAGTTTGTTTAACTTAATATATTATGTTGATCGAATATACAGGTTTGTACAACTAATTGACTTTTAAGTTAAGAAAACAGCTGGTGCCTTAAACTTAAGTTTCCTCTTTTTTTTCTTTTATTATTCATTGTATTGATCTGAAATGGTATAAAACTTGACGTTTGTATATATGAAGAGTTCAGATGCAAAAGCCTCTAAGTGCCATTTGAAATTTTCTTCTAGAATGATCATTTTTATCAAGCTTGTATATTTAAGTTCAGTGATTTCACTTAAATGGCAATGATAATTACCTATTAATTGTTATTTAAGTGAAATTACTGAACTTAAATATACAAGTTTGACAAAAATCATCATTAAAGAAGAAAATTTCAAATGGCATTTAGAGGCTTTTGCATCTGAACTCTTCGTATATTTATTTCAAATGTGTGAAGCATTTTAAATAACCATTTTTTAAGTGCTATACAAGTATACCTAGACTTACCTACATATAAAAATTGGGCCCAATGTAATGTTAATATGAAGGAATTTTCCGTACTGATTTTTCACAGGTTATTTACCCAATTTACACACTGCATTGTGTTTTAGGGACAAGTCTGTAAACTTAACGGATGAGGTCCTGGCAGAAAACCCCCAGGAAATGTTCCATTTATCTACAGCTTTTTTTCTTACAGCGATGTACTTGGATTGAGACTTGTGGCACTTTATTCCACATAATAATCTATGATCAAAACTATGATCAATTCTAATGTAAAATACTGATGCGGTGTTTCTGTGTGGCATATTAGATCAACGTTTCACAGATTTGTGATTTAATTGTAAAATTGACACTTTTAATCGAATGTTGTTTCAATCTGTCTCTCTCTCTCTCTCACTCACACACACAATGCCTGTACATGACAGATTTGAAACTCTTTTATACCCACCACATAAAAACACAGGTAATCATATTTTTTTTTAACTGGGATTGCCGTCTCCTTGAAGGAAGTTCATTCCACAAAAGGTTCATTATACTGGAAAAAATTTGCATTTAGATTATCTAAAATGTTTCTTTTAAGGACCAAATTTGAGGACCAAACACATTGTGCAAGGACACTACACATTGTGCAAGCAAATATATAAACTGGCAAAATGCTCTAGGCAAATTAAATTCACACATTTAAAAACCTGACAACCGCCGTATCCAAGTCGCAAACCCCATCTGACAGCTCTCCACTACCTCAACAGCAAGGGCTTGCATCTCATCTGCATAGTGTCTTGCCATTGGCCATTGGTTTAACAAGAGGAGCTGCTGCCGCAAGCTGATTGGCTGAGCTCTGAAGAGGGCTTGGAATCCCTGCCATTGAGAAAGGCCATAAATAGGGCACGAGAACACACACACAACACACAGATGCAGCTGAAACCATTCCTCATGCTTCAAGACTGCCACAATCAGAAAGAAACGGGGGAAACAGGCACATCCAAACTCTCAGACTTACATTCACTATTGGGATTGGGAATCATGTCTCTGGAAGGCAAGGAAAAGACAGAGGTGCGATTGGTGTTCATGGGAGCGGCAGGTGTTGGGAAAACAGCCCTGATTAAACGTTTCCTACAAGACAGCTTCGAGCCCAAACATCGGCGGACGGTGGAGGAGCTCCACAGCAAGGAGTACGAGGTGGCCGGGGTCAAAGTGACCGTGAACATCATGGACACGAGCGGGAGCTACTCCTTCCCGGCCATGAGGAAGCTCTCCATCCAGAACGGAGACGCCTTCGCCCTGGTCTACTCCGTGGACGACCCCGAATCCCTCGAGGCCGTCAAGAGCCTGCGTGAGGAAATCCTGGAGGTCAAGGAGGACAAGTTCACACCCATCGTAATAGTGGGCAACAAGACCGACAGACTGCACGAGCGAAGGGTGTCCGCGGACGACGTGCTGGCGAAGGTGGAGATGGACTGGAACAACTGCTTCCTGGAAGCCTCGGCCAAAGACAACGAGAACGTGATGGAGGTGTTCAGGGAGTTGCTCCAGCAAGCCAACCTCCCCAGCCGCCTCAGCCCGGCCTTGCGTCGTCGCAGGGAGACCATTCCCAAAGACAAGGGTCTGCGGCCGCCCATGAACAAGGCCAACAGCTGTTCGGTCTCCTAACGCCCGCGAGAAAAAGACAAGCAAGGATGGCATGGGTCGAGGTTCTCCTCGATGATGTGGAAGGCTCTTTTAAGGCGAAGACGCTTTTGTTACATAGCGAAACTTCCCATAATCCCGCTTCCAAAATCAGCATCCACCGCAGTGATGAAGGGAAAAACGATTTCAGAGAAAGGGGAGGATGATCAAAAGACAATGAACTGTTGCGTTTGTGCACAGAATCTGTTGAATGTGTTGACCGTGAAGTTCAGTTGTGTGATCCGTGTCGTCGATTCTATCGTATACGTTAAAATATTCCAACTTTAATGCTAAAGCATTGCAATTTAGCAATGTCATAAATGTTTATTATCATAATTTGACTGTATGACATTCATTGGTTTACAAATCATTGCACTAAGTTTTAAGGTCACTGTGTTCATTGTTCAGTTGCATATACCAGCACTTTTATTCTGTCGAAAACTCGTATGATGCACTGATGTCTTTTTTTTGTAACTTGTTAAAGAAAAATAAATAACTAATTGCTGATCAAAGGCTTTCTGGCAGGATTTATGTTGAGAGAATTTGAAATGTGTCAACGCACAAAGCTAATTTAACTTAATAAGTGAAACTAATGTATTTTATAGACTTACACGCAAAGTTTGATATTTCAAGCCTTTATTTGTTATAATTTTGATGAGTATGGCTATGAAAACCTTTTCACAATATTCTAATTTTGAATTTGGGGTTTTATAAGCTGTAAGCCAAAATTATAACAAATAAAGGCTTGAAATATCACACTTTGCGTGTAATGAGTCTATATAATATATTAGTTTCACCTTTTAAGTTTAATTACTGAAATAAATTAACTTTTGCACGATATTTTAAGTTTTCAAGTTTCACCTGTACCAAATTTGTGATACACTTGTTGGAAATATCTATTCATTCTTTATCACCAAAGAAAAAAAAATATTGTTGGCATTTTTTCCGATATATTTAAATATTATTAAAACAAAATGCTTTTAACTGAAGCAAAATTGGATATGAAGTCTTGTCTTCTGAAAAAGTATCAAAATTAAGTGAGTTTTTATAACAAATATCTGCCAATGGGGTGAGAAAAATAATATTGTTTTCCTTTTAAGTTTATTTTTCTGATACTACTTGCAGATATTTTCCTTTTTTTATATATCTTTAGTAATTTTGCCTCTCAATTAAATGTGTCTGGATTTAAGAATGTTTAGATATTTGTACTAAGTATCATGAACAGTGTTTTTAAAAATAGCGTAACAAAAGACTTAAATGCTATGAAAACAAAATTTTTGGAAAAGCATCAATATATTGTAATTTATCCACTAAATAATTTCAAGTTTTTAAGTAGAAGCTAATAAATGAGAAATGTTTCATGTAAACTACGGTTTAATCAGTCATAAAATCCAGAAGGCAACATTAACCCTATTAAAACATAACCATAATAACCAACTTTAATACTTTGATCATAAAAAAGATGCTACACTAAAAAATGCTGGGTTGTTTTAACCCAATTTTGGGTCAAATATGGACAAACCCAATTGTTGCATTAAAAATAAATGTAATCCAACTGCTGGGTTTGTCAATATTTGACCCAAAATTGGGTTAAAACAACCCAGCATTTTTTAGAGTGTACCACAGCTAAATTTCCACGTTCACACATCCAGGACTTATCATATATTGCCACCTTGTGGTGCGTCGACTGACTTGGAGCTTCTCATTTCACCGGCTTTGGGTGTGATATGCCATGAATATAGTGAACAATAAAAGCAACGAGGAAATGTGTGCTGCGTAAAACAAAGGCCTATTATCACATACACATCTAACGGGATGTAAGGTACTTCCTAAAACACTGAGTGAATGATCTATTGAATGAAACGTAATGCATGTAGCACAACATTTTACAATGACAGACTTTTGTTTAACAATGCAGGACTCTACAGAAAATAAAGAGGGTTATTCAGAGTTATCCAAACGTTACTTGGTTATCCAAGTATTCAAATTAATTTTAATGAAATCTACAATTACATTATGAACATCTAAGCCCATTACACTGCAAAAGAAATGACTAAAATTATTACTGGTAATTGTTTATATACTTGCTTTCCAATATATATACAAATATATATATATATATATATATATATATATATCTGAGTCGGTCGGAATCTGCTCAGTTACTGGGATTTTCACACACAACAATTTCTAGGGTTTACAAAGAATGGTGTGAAAAGGGAAAAACATCCAGTATGCGGCAGTCCTGTGGGCGAAAATGCCTTGTTGATGCGAGAGGTCAGAGGAGAATGGGCTGACTGATTCAAGCTGATAGAAGAGCAACTTTGACTGAAATAACCACTCGTTACAACCGAGGTATGCAGCAAAGCATTTGTGAAGACACAACACGCACAACCTTGAGGCGGATGGGCTACAACAGCAGAAGACCCCACCGGGTACCACTCATCTCCACTACAAATAGGAAAAAGAGGCTACAATTTGCAAGAGCTCATCAAAATTGGACAGTTGGAGACTGGAAAAATGTTGCCTGGTCTGATGAGTCTCGATTTCAGATGGTAGAGTCAGAATTTGGCGTAAACAGAATGAGAACATGGATCATCATGCCTTGTTACCACTGTGCAGGCTGGTGGTGGTGGTGTAATGGTGTGGGGGATGTTTTCTTGGCACACTTTAGGCCCCTTAGTGCCAATTGGGCATCGTTTAAATACCTGAGCATTGTTTCTGACCATGTCCATCCCTTTATGGCCACCATGTCCTCATCCTCTGATGGCTACTTCCAGCAGGATAATGCACCATGTCACAAAACTCGAATCATTTCAAATTGGTTTCTTGGACATGACAATGAGTTCACTGTACTAAACTGGCCCCACAGTCACCAGAGCTCAACCCAATAGAGCATCTTTGAGATGTGGTGGAACGGGAGCTTCGTGCCCTGGATATACACGAAAGGGGGTCAAACACAGTATTAGTACAGTATTCCTAATAATCCTTTAGGTGAGTGTGTGTGTATATATAGAGAGAGCCAGACAGATAGACAGACAGACAAATATTACAAACTTGTAATATATTACACAAGTCATATGAAGTACCATTATGGTGTTTTTTAGTCCCTTTTGAAAATCATGCATTTTGGTTGCATGCAAACAAGCAGATCATCTCTTTATGTATTAAATAGAATATATAATGACTTTAGGTTTCCCAAAATGTCTACGCTCTAAAACACCGTTGCCCACTGACACACACACACACAAACTGTGAGTATTTCCCCTTTCATCCAAACAGTAGATACAAGGTGTATTGTTTCCTGAGGCCACAAGTGGGAAGTGACCTCTAAACGCTGCATGTCTAGTTCCTCTTCGAGCTGAGTTTAAACACACAGCTGTCTGTTCATCGGTCATCCACACACTGATAAGTGCCACTCTCGCCAGATCTGTGTCTCACTGACAACAGTGTTGAACGGACACAACTGCACAACAATTGGAGGTACGTTTGCTTCAGTTTTTTTTTGTGTTTGCTATATATTCAACTATCATTGTTCTTTTGAGATGAAAAGATCCTTGAGAATGTTGTCAATATTTTTGTGTGGGTAAAACCTTTTAAAGGGTTAGTTTAACCAAAAAAGGGAAAATTATGTCATTATTTACTCACGCTCATGTTGTGATATAATATATGTAATAAATGTATAAATATGTAATAAATGTTATGTTCCATGAAACAGTAAGTTCTACAAGTTTTGAATGACATGAGGGTGAATTGATGACAATTGTCATTTTTGGGATGTCTGGTTCCCATTTTATTTTATTTTATATTAAATATTAATTATATTTACATTATATATATATATATTTTTTTTTTTTCTAGAAAATTTAGATTTTAGGACCATTTAGGACCAAATAAATACATTTATTTATGCATCATGGTAGTTTAAGGTTTAGATATACCCCTTTTTTTAATGTGTATTAATTTGTATTAATAAATATTGCAAATCATTAACAAAAGAAAACGATCGTTTCCATGATTTGTTTGTACTTTTTTACTATGTTTGCTTAATTGTCATCCTAAAAAATCATAATTATCCTAAAAATAGGCATAATTTTCTGTGCCATTAAATTTTTAAGCGATATTGAGGCAAAAAGTGACCCAGAAATGTTTCCATAGGTTCTTTTGTTTGGGTCGCTTGACTTGGTCTAAGCTCCTCAGTGTCGTGTGTAAAACCTGAGGAGTTTAGAGCAAGTAAAGGGTCCTTCACGAACTCGTCCTCTGAAGACCACCGATGACATCACATAAGGAGCTAGACGGACACGTTTGACCCGCTAAATCTCATTCTACCCAAGAAACCTGCATGTGCTTCTCTATGTTTCAGTTCAATAAAGATTCAACAGAGAGCGGCATGAAGCGAATCTGTGTTTATTTACAAAAATAAGATTGCAAAGCCACAGCAGATACAGTATATCGTAGCAAAAAAAAAAAAATCATGTTCTCTTTCAGGTCGGACAATATTTGCACAACAGCAAAAAATATAACGGCTTCGAATAAGGTTGCCATAGCAACCACTTTCACTCTCACAGAGTGAGGCACTGGGGAAACAGCTAGTTGACGTACGATTGAGGAACACGGAGATGTGGAAGATAAGGTTAAAAGAAAGAAGTGTTGCCGTGCTTCAAACGCAACGAGAGGAAGAATGGGGACGTGCGGGGTCATCTATCCCGCTCATCTAAGGTTTAATCAGGAAGCAAAAGCTAAATGGCATTATCAGTTAACTAGCCAAATATTCACAGTGTACTGCATTAGTATTGCTAATATGGCTTCAAATGCCTTCAAGATGATATAAGTTTTATCATCATCTACGCCAGATCTTGACATTAGCACACAAATGCAACTGAGATATAAAATACACTGAAATTGAGGAACAGATTAGACAGAGGCGAGTTTTACGTGCCATTTTCACTCCCTTAGTTGTGTCGTGTAGGAGTACATGGAGAAGTATTCACAGTACTTGCTTCGTTCAGAGCTCTTTTGTTTTGTCTAACTAACTTTATCATGGGGTTTCATTTGTTAACAATACGTAACCACCTTAGTTAATAATTACATAATTAAAATCAAAAGTTGTATCTGGTAACATTAGTTAATCCACTGTGAACAAACATGAACAACTGCATTTTTAACTCCCTGGACCGATTTCTTGTCAATGAAATGAATTAACTATATTTTAGTGTGATAATGCTTTTTAAGTAATATTTTGTATTTTTATTTAATTTTTTATATGCTAAATTATATGTACGCTGAATTTAGCATCCATTTATCCACTTAATGAGCGCAGACCTGAAACTGTGGTAAATCTTGAATGCTTTTGCGCACAGTCTCATAAAGACGACACTTGGCAGATTACTGCTTTTATAAATCATGTTTACTCTAAAACTGCAAGAAATCAAGTTTGAAATCTAAATCTAAATTTAAATCTGAGTTTTAAATATCCAAAAAGTTAGCTTTCAGTCAGATTGTGTTTGGCTGCAGTACCAAAAATAAAATAAAATGATAAAATTTGACCTTTTAACCTTTCGAATCATGTCCATTATTTTAAAAACGGAAACTTTTTTTGAAGACCAACAGAGGTAACATTAACAAAGCTTAACACATGCTGTAAAAATATGTTCATGTTAGCCAATGAATTAACTAATGTTAACAAATTAGCCCTAATTGTAATTGCTGATCTGGTAAAAACAGACGTACAGGTAAACACTTGCATAATTTCTATTCTTTGCATTCATTTGTGTTTATAAAAAACTAGATGTGTGCGTACATTTACAGGTTTGAGTAATTGTTCATTTATTTTGGAATTCATGTCATTTGGCAATGGGAGTGTGTTTAGAAAGTATTGAAGAATAAAAGCGGTTCATATGAGAAATGAAGGTGATTGTAGTCCTCAGTTGAGCTGGGAATGGGGAACTGCATTGGCACACCTCAACTGCATAAGATACTTCCCTAAACTCTACACCTCACCTTCATCTCTAACCCAAACGTGTGTGTCGGCTAGTCGTCTACTGTGATATTGCGGAAGAGGTAGGCCATTGACTCCCCGTTGTGAATGCGTCGGATAGCCTCGGCCAGGATCATACTGACATCCACCGTCTTGATCTTAGGACACTGCAGCTTTTGCACCTCGTGAGGAACAGTGTTGGTCACCACCACCTGAAAGACATCCCAAACATTTGGCCATTCAACATTTTGATTAGTGCTGTCAAACGATTCAAATATTTAATTGCGATTAATCGCATTAATGTCATAGTTAACTCGCGATCAATCGCATTTATGTCGTAGTTAACTCGCGATTAATCGCATCCATGTCATAGCTAACTCGCGATTAATCACATTAATGTCATAGTTAACTCCCGATCAATCGCATTAATGTCGTAGTTAACTCGTGATTAATCGCATCCATGTCATAGCTAACTCGTGATTAATCGCATTAATGCCATAGTTAACTCGCGATTAATCGCATTAATGTCATAGTTAACTCGCGATTAATCGCATTAATGTCGTAGTTAACTCATGATTAATCGCATCCATGTCATAGCTAACTCGCGATTAATCACATTGTCATAGTTAACTCGTGATTAATCGCATTAATGTCATAGCTAGCTCGTGATTAATCGCATTAATGTCATAGCTGACTCGCGATTAATCGCATTAATGTAGTAGTTAACGCGTGATTAATCGCATCCATGTCATAGCTAACTCGCGATTAATCACATTAATGTCATAGTTAACTCACGATTAATCGCATTAATGTCGTAGTTAACTCGTGATTAATCGCATTAATGTCATAGCTGACTCGCGATTAATCGCATTAATGTCGTAGTTAACTCGTGATTAATCGCATCCATGTCATAGCTAACTCACGATTAATCACATTAATATCATAGTTAACTCGCGATTAATCGCATTAATGTCATTGTTAACTAGCGATTAATCACATTAATGTCATAGTTAACTCGCGATTAATCGCATTAATGTCGTAGTTAACTCGTGATTAATCACATCCATGTCATAGCTAACTCGCGATTAATCGCACATTTTTATCTGTTCTAAATGGCTCTTGATTTCTTTTTCTCACATTATTTTTTCTCATTTTAATGCTTTTATCAACATGGATTCAAGTGCATCAGCGTCTCGCACTCGTCATCCACACAAAACGCGATGTTAACCAACTATTTGGCCGGCTCGCAAGCCCAAACGAGTGTGTGCGGCGTGCATGTTGTTTTCGATCTAGCTAGATACGCTTGTGCTTTGGTCGACGTAGCAACAAAACGTCCTCGCACGTTGGGTTTCACGTTGGGCGTAATGAATGGGTTTCCTGTTGCAAAAGCATATGAAAAAATACTACAAAGTTTGCTAGACCAAAAAGACCGTTAATCACGCAATAAAAAAAATTGACGCCGTTAAAATGGGTTTGCGTTAACGCCGTTAATAACGTGTTTAACTGACAGCCCTAATTTAATATCTGTTAAAATCAATACTTGATAAACGTATTAAGCAACCATGTAAATGAAGGTAAGTAACTGCTGATTGACATCTAGCTAATTTTCAAGAAATAGTGCCACTCGTGAACTAAAGTGGCTTTCGCACCAGGGGAACCTTTTCATAGTTCCTAGAACTATTGACGGAAGTACCCGGATTGTGGTGTGTTTGCGCCGCAGACTCCCATGTTACCAGACCACTGAAACCGACAGAATATGAAACAGTCCCACCTAAAATATTTTTCACCAGCTGCCACTGGCGAAAACCCAAGCTGTTGTTTGCGCATACTCCAAGAAATTACACGTTGACATTACACTAAACCACGTTGTTGTTGACTGGTTGACTTTGAATAGGCTAGTATAATGAAATTTAAGACCTTCGTTTCAAAAATTAAGACTTGGACAACGGAATTTAAGACTTTAAGGCCTTAATTTAGGAACATGAAATCGAATACCTTTTTAAGACTTTTAAGACCACGCGGCTACCAAGTAATCATTACTGTCTACTTTCTATGTTTAAAAGTTCTATCTAATAAAAGTATATTAGACAGGACTGTAAGACAGATCGTAAACTAAGCACACTAGGGGAGCCATTAGTTCTTGGGGAACCATCCTATTGGCCAGTTCCTAGAACTACCCGGTGCGAAAGCCCCAATGAATTTATTTTATTCCATTTGAAAGAGTTACAGCTGAACTTTTTTCGAAGAAATCACCTTCTTTTCCCAATTCACACCCAACGTACCAGGGCCATATTTTCCATAGACACTGAGGGACGACCATAGACATCAAAAGCAATGGTCAATTACATCTTTGAATAGCAGTTTCTTAAGTTTCCTCCAATCATAAATAGTAATTGCTGGTTAGAGCCTTGCAAAATGTTACTAAAATTACATTACTTGGTAACACTTTACTTGAAGGGGTGTGCATAAGACTAACATGACACCTTCATAATCATGACATGAAATATGTTATGAATATGAAGGAAGTTTTAAGCATGGTTATGACAACGGTCATTAAGTGTCATTCGCTCAATTATAACATTTTTAATGCAAATATGACATTGTTTGAGATGTCTTTGTTATAAACCGCCTTGACATAAACCAATACATCTTAACCTATCAGTGTCTTTGTCATGACAACTTGACATTAGTACTAAGACAACACAACCCGTCATAAACATGACATAGTAGATTAATTATCAAACTTAAGAAACCATCTAGCTTTATTGGTTAAAATAACATTAAACTGTCAGGTGGTTGGTTTTGACATCAGCTGTCATGAAGCCATTATAACTTTTTAATGACAAATTCAATTAGTAACCACTGTAGTTGAGGTCACGAAAAATATTCATGACACAGTTATAATGCCTCAAGACAGCCAATGTCAGGCCAACCACATGACAGTTTAACTTAATTTTATGTCAAGTTGTCATGACAAAGACACTGACAGGATGTTGAAGTAAATGAGCTGAACGACTCACTTCGTCTATAGCGGACTCCTCGATGAGGCGCGGGGCGTCCGCAGACAAGAGCCCGTGGGTGGCCATGATGTAGATCTTATAAGCTCCTCTCTCTTTCAGAATCTCAGCTGCTGCAACAAAGTCCTCCACATCATCGATGATGTCATCCTACAGGACGGAAACCACATGCGTTAGGTCAATAAAAATAAAAAATAAAATAAAAAAATCAATGTCATTACTGTTAACTACTCCAAAAATCGGCATTTCTTACGACAATGATGGCGATGCGGCCTCCAACATCTCCGACAACAGTGATGGGTGGTTTCTCCTTAGCCATCATTACTATGAAGAAAAATATAAACGGGTGTTGCACATCACTTCAGGAAATCGTTTTAATAACCCAATCACGTTCCATCATCAAAGTAGATTGGGTAAGATGGGGTGAGAAGTGTATGAAATGGCCCAACCCTCCCATATAATCAAATGGTAAAACTAAAATTTAAAGAGTCCTGGCAGGACCCTAGCGCACAGCATAGCGTAACATTAGCCTATTTGTTGGAGAATGCTTCCCATTTTACCCCACCTACAACTGAATACAATCCAAAAAGCACTGAAAAAACTCATCGTGACACATGCCATGCAGAAATCAAAATGATCATCTCTTGGTCCCCAATGTACCCAATCATAGAGGCAAATGTCTAGAGGTTTACACTAAGAGTAACTACACAATCAATGAGTCAGCATGACAGACTCCAGGACATTGCTGTAATTTAGGAGAGGTCAAGAAGGGCTAATGTCATTCATCCAGAGGAAAGACACTGGAACACAGCCAAAAACACACCGACCCAAGTAAACACGAGAGAGGAAGACTGGAGGGTCGATTTTTGAATACATAGGGTTAAAGGAGTAGTTCACTTTTAAAAAAACTTTTGCTGATAATTTACTCACCCCCATGTCACCCAAGATGTCCACGTCTTTCTTTCTTCAGTCGAAAAGAAATTAAGGTTTTTGATGAAAACATTCCAAGATTTTTCTCCAAATAATGGACTTCAATGGGAACCAAACGGTTCAAGGTCAAAAAGACAGTTTCAGTACAAACTGCAAACTGTTCAAAGGGCTTTAAACGACACCAGACGATGAATAAGGGTCTTATCAAGCGAAACTGTGAAAAAAGTGAATCTTTTTTCGTGTCATTTGGTTCATTCAACAAACGAAAGGAACGAATTGACTCGAAAAAAGATCTGTTCATTTTGATGAACGAGTTCGAACAGAAGAGTCACGAACGTGCAATACAGAACAGAGCAAGGCAACCATTTGCTTATAAAACTTAAACTTTGTTATTTTTTTTTTTTAAATGAGCGATCGTTTCGCCTGATAAGACCCTTATTCATCATCGTCTGGAGTCGTTTAAAGCCCTTTGAACAGTTTGCACTGAAACTGTCTTTTGGACCTTGAACCGTTTGGTTCCCATTGAAGTCCATTATATGGAGAAAAATGCTGGAATGTTTTCATCAAAAACCTTCATTTCTTTTCGACTGAAGAAAGAAAGACATGGACATCTTGGATGACATGGGGGTGAGTAAATTATCAGCAAAAGTTTTTTTTTTTTAAAGTGAACTACTCCTTTAAAGGAGTTATGCATGCCTTCAACACATGCCTTTCATCAACAGCAAGACCTAAAAAGCTTTTCGATATTTAAACAGAAATATCTTTATCAGATTTACATGGTTTGCAGACCTTACAGGCTTATAGACCCAATATTGCAATCTGCTAAGATGTAAAAATCTAAAATGGCACATTTGAAAGGATAAATTCACAGAGGACGAGATCTTGACTTAAAAGAGCTACAGCTCCAGCTTTTTTTTTCTTCAGCTATTGCAGCAAATGGGAAAGCAAAAGTTATGCGTCATTATTTCCGTTTCCCACTATAGGTTTCCGCTTCTGAGAACACCAGAAATGTAAATTGGGGCCATTTTTTTTTATTTTTGTAAGCAACATTTTAATTGTAAATATTCATTGTAGATGTTTTCCTTGTCTGCAATCCGTTTAAGACGGATTTAAAAAAAAAAATAACGTTGGTTTAACTTAAAAAAATGAAGTAACCTTGTTGCCTTGAAATTTTTAATTCATTGAAATGGAAAAATTGAGTTAATACAATGAAGGAGATTGGTTTAATCTTCAGAAACACGAAATATTATGTTATCTGAACTACATAAATTATTTAAGTTGATTTGACAAAAGAAAAAATGTTGTGATTACAAATCATGAAAATATATGTTTTACAGTGTGTGCATTCCTGCAGTGTCATTAGCCAATCAGTGTTGAAATTACGTAATTAATTTCCTGCCTGATATAGTTAGACACTGGATTTGAGTACTAGAAACCAGCAGCACACAGACTAGAGGAGAACTCCAGTGTGAACAGGGCTTTACATGAAACAATGAGTGAAAATAGTAATGCACCGAATCTCTGGCAACAAAAGATATTCGGCCAAACCCGCAGAAATTATTATTATTATTATTATTATTTTTTGTCACAGTGTTCATTTTTTCAGCTTTTTATTTAGTCTTAGTCCTGTGTCAAATGTACTTTTTAGTTTATCATCATTTTTATTCAAGTTTTAGTCAACTTAATAGCTGGGAATTTTATTCTAGTTTCAGTAAATGAAAATTTTTGTCCTGCTGCATAATGGTTAAATTGATAATCATTGCCTTTCATAGTATTAAAAAAAATATTATGGATGTCAATGGGGTTCATCAACTGCTTGGTTTTTGACATTCTTCAAAATATCATCTTCGTGTTCAGCAGAAGAAAGAAATTCATACAGTTTGGAAAAACTTGGTCGGAAAATTATGACATAATTTTCATTTTTGGGTGAACTATCTCTTTAAGGTTTTTCTATTAAATATGGTTGCCATATTGCAAGATGAAGTAAAACACTGGGCCAAAAAAATTGTCCTTTAAACAGAAAAGCTCTAATTGAATACCTGAATCTGATTGGGGGATTTAAACTCCCAACATCTGGCAACCGCAAACATGAAAGCTTATAGTCAATGTTGCCAAGTTTTTGTAGTCCGCAGGTTAAAACAACTCGAATGTGATTTTTACCCCTAAAAACACTAGTTTTGGCCACGATCAGGCTAGTTTTTATTAGCAAATGGCCAGGTATAGTTGTCTAGAAACCCTGCTCGAGGTAGAGGCTTGTACAGCATTTTGTAAATGTTCTGGTCTCTCTTTTTTTTTAAGTTAAGGTAAAGTTTTTAATTTTTTAACTACATATTAGTCTCAACAATATTGCATATTAATATAGTCACAGTAATTGTTTAATGACCTTGTTGTCTTGTAATCAGTCATTTAAAAAAAAAAAAAACGTCATTTTCGTTAACAAAATGAGACACTAAATATAGAAATTATATAAAAAAACGCAGATGGAATACAAGATAACGTCCTGTGTGAACGACCCCAACAAGTGTGGATAGAAAACAGCAATTTTGAAGTCTGGTAGAAGATAAACAAGTTTTCTATTGCATAAATTATATTCTCAATGGTTTATCAATGTGTATTTCTACAAGCTTATGAGACCACAAAGCATATGCTGACTTCACATATGCTAGCTTGTTTTTTAATTAGCCCTGTATCAAAAACTCTAACCCTTGACAGGAACTTTCAGCGAACACCTTCCTCTACTTATCAAGGTCATGTGTTTCCAAGACGATGCAAGAGCCTTGGTTACAAGCATCTACAAGTCTACCATTTAAAAACTCCAGTCTATGGGTTTTCATAAGCAGGCATGGTGTGTTGATTGGCTAGATAAGCCTGGATCACAAATAAAGGCATATCTCTCGGACAAACATTCAATGGTTCCATTTCGATGGAACGAATGATGATAATTACATGGAAATTGAAAAAAAGCACTTCATTTGAGGTTTCTTAGTTCTGTTTGAGTGAAGCACTCTGAAGCTTAAACATCCATTTTTACAATTATTTGGTCAAGGCTGGGCGGTATGGCAGTATCTATGGTGGATGTATTTGAGCAGCTATGTTCAACGGCTTCTAATGAGCCATTTCAAATAAAAATATAACATAAGACGAAGTATCTGATTTGTAAAACAGTTAAAGGGGTCGTATTATGCCCTTTTACGAAGTCTTGTTTTTGGGGTGTACTAGAATATGCTTTCACGCTTGAAAAAAACACACACATTATGTTGCTCTCTCCATTTTCATTTTCGATGAAGCCCCTCCTTCTGAAATACGATTGGTTAGCTGGCCCAGTGCGTTGTGATTGGCACCACTTAGCAGACGTTCGGCCCCTTACCATAACCGCAAGCTCCTCTCAAATGCAAATATTAAGATGGTTTTTCTTATACATTTTAGATACGACGTTATACACAATTGAATCGTAATATTTGTCGGAAAACTGTGGTGATACAAAGAGTAATTAATCACAAAACTATAGTTAATTTTCCTAATGCCTGGTTCAGATTAGACGATTTTTTTGTCTGTTACGATAGTCACCGTGTCCGATTACGTGATTTTGGCTCCTAAAATCTTGTCGTGTCGTGGACAAGAAACTTGTCGGTCTACACGTTACTTCCTGACCAGTCATCGCATGCCGTGTTTAAAGGCGCGCGTGATGTCATCGAGAAGGCAAAACTCGTAGCGAGTGACTTCCTGGATTGCAAAGAGAAACTCCAAAGAGAACTTCAGATAAAATATAGGTTTCTTATATATTTCTACTTCTAGTTTTAACGTTAGCACCATCGTCTCTCTTTTGTTTTGACTTTTTTGAAAGTTGTATACGGAAAAACTTCTGTGCTCCTATTGGTCAACCTCATACATGTGATGGAACCGTCGTGGACGACGTTAAAAAATTAAACATGCTAGTTTTTTTTTTTCGTGAAGCATCGCAGACGCAACGTAGGTTGTCGCCCACTATGACACACTATAAGAGATGATACGATCGAATCTTGCGTCCCGACGCCCGTTGTCGTTTACGAATCCCAACGACACCCTACCATACTTCAAACTAGTGTTGTCACGGTACCAAAATTTCAGTATTCGGTACCAATACCAGTAAAAATTCACGGTTCTCGGTACCAATTTCGGTACCAAAGCTTAGTTTAAATTTACATATATTTAAGTGTTTATCACGGTTACAAGTATGGAAACTGTACATTTGTATTATAAACACTTTAGAAAAAAATTAGATAAAATTACCAAAAATAAACAATAGTATACACTAACACATTTTTAAAGTTGTTTGTAAAGTTTTAATCCGTTAACATTTATTTAATGCACAATGAATGAAGTGAACAAACATGAACAATCAAGTGTTTCTATTA